ACAAGGCTAAGAAAGGAGATAGGGAGAATGCAAACAATGTTAGTGATAGTTTTGGTGGAGATGAGTATACTTTTATGGCAAAGAAAGGAGCATCCATGGCTGCCATGTCAAAGTGGATTGTAGATTCAGGTGCTACTAAGCACATGACAACATACAAGTGTTCATTTGATACTTATGAAGAAATTCCAGCAACAAAAGTATGATTGAGAGATAATGGCATAGTACAAGCCATTGGAATTGGCTCCATTGTAGTAGAGATTGTTGTGAAGGACCAAATGAAGAGAATCAGATTGAAAGAAGTCCTACATGTGCCAAAAATGAAGAAGAACCTCTTTTCGGTGAGCAAACTTGTATCACATGGTTGTAAGGTTCAATTTGACATGAATGGATGTTTTGTCAAGAAATTGGATGGCCATCAAGTTGCCAAAGGCCTTAGAGATGGAAATATCTACTTCATCAATTGCAAAAAGGTGTATGGAGTTGAAGTGGCAGTATTTGCTGATTTTCCACAAGATCAAGACAAGTTTAGAATTTGGCATCAATGACTTAGTCATTTGAATGTCAAATGCATGAAGGAGCTCCAATCCATGGTAAGTGGCTTGAATCTTGGTCAATTCAGCCACAATGCCATGACACTTGCTTGTGAAGGATGTATACAAGGTAAACAACAAAGGGCTTCATTTCCAAGTAGAGTTGCAACATGTGCAACAAAATTATTGGAGATTGTGCACTCAGATGTTTGTGGACCAATGAAGACACTATCAATTGGAGGAGGAAGGTACTTTGTTACATTCATTGATAATTTCTCAAGAAAGATGTGGATTTACATCATTAAAGCTAAGAGTGAATGTTTCTCAAAGTTTAAGGAATTTAAGGCTCTTATAGAGAAACAATGTGAGTACAAGATCAAAAAGTTGAGAATGGACAATAGAGGTAAATACATGTCAAAGCATTTTGATGACTTCATGAAGATTCAAGGTATTGCAAGACAAACCTCTACTCTTTACACTCTACAACAAAATGGAGTTGTTGAAAGTGAAAATCGTACCATTTGTGGAGATGGCAAGGAGTATGCTTCATACACAAAATCTTGGACATGAATATTGGACGGAAGCTATACTAAATGCGGTATACACAAGGAATAGGTGCCTTACAAGTGTACTTACATTAATGACTCCACAAGAAGCTTGGAGTAGGAAGAAACCTTGTATTTCACACATGAGGATTTTTGGATGCATTCCTTATGCAAAGGTACTAGATTGTATGAGGTCCAAAATTGATGCAAAAGGTATAAAATGTGTATTTGTTGGATATTATGAAGGTACCAAAGCATATAGGCTAATGTGTTTAGAAACCAAGAAGATCATCAAAAGTCATGATGTAGAGTTTTTGGAGCATAAGAGGGCTTATGAGCACTTAGAAGAGTGTCTAAAAGGGAGTAAAGGTGTGTTTGTGGACATATCTTCAAGTTCAGCAAAGAAAGAAGAAGAAGAAGAAGATGATGATGATAATGAAGATGGAGGAAATAGAAGTCAAGATCAAGTGCCAAAGAAGGTAAATCATAGTGTACCTTCAATTGCTAGAACCAACAATGAAGACAATGAAGATATTGAAGGTGATGATGCTGCTGAAGAATATCAACCTTTGAATGAGAAAAGACAAGCATTGCAGAAGAAGGATGGAATGCAAGAAGAAGGGTCTTCTTCAAATGAAAGGAGATATCCTTTGAGAAAAAGAAAACCACGTGGTGAATGGTGGAAGGACCACATCTTTCCTCAAGTAAGTGAAGAACATGCCAATATTAAACTTCTTGCTGATCGGTTGAGTTTATATGATGCAATGAAGTCCACAGATGCTATGAAGTGGGAGAATGCTATGGAAAAAGAATACAAATCACTCATGGACAATGGAACATGGGAATTGACTGAACTTCCACCAAATTGATCTTAAATTGATTGTAAGTGGGTGTTTAGAACCAAAAGGGATGCAATAGATAATATTGTGAGATACAAGTCTAAATTGGTTGCCAAAGGCTACTCACAAGTTTTTGGTGTAGATTTCAATGAGACATTTGCTCTCGTGGCCAAATTCACTACTATTAAAACCATTATGGCAATTCGGACAGAAATGGATTTGGAGATGCATCAAATGGATGTGAAGACGGCTTTCTTGAATGGAAGTTTGAAAGAAGACATCTACATGGATCAACCTCAAGGATTTGTTAAAGAAGGCAAACAACACCTTGTTTGTAAGTTAAAGAAATCCTTGTATGGACTATAGCAATCACCAAGGGCATAGTATCAACGCATTGATACATTCTTTGTGAGTGAAGGATTTGTAAGGAGTGAGGCTCATCATTCCTTATATGTGATGCAATCAAATGAATTCATATTGATTGTCATCATTTATGTTGATGATTTAATCATCTTAATCAATACATTGAAGATGATGGATTGGTTGAAGGCAAAGTTAGAAAAGGAATATGAAATGAGTGATTTGAGAGAGCTTCACTATTGTTTTGGAGTGGAGTTTGTAAGAGATCGTTCTAAGAAGACTATTACAATGAGCCAAAGCAAGTACATTGAAGAAGTATTGAAATGATTCAATATGTAGGAGTGTAAGCCTATTGGAACACCATTGGAGGCAAACTTGAAGTTGATGAAGCTCACGGATGAAGAATTTGCTGAAGTTGAAGGTCAAATGCAAGGTGTTCCATACAAGGCAGCAGTGGACTCACTTATGTATGCAATGGTTGGCACAAGGGTGGAACTTGCATATGCGGTAAGTGTTGTGAGTCAATACATGTCAAAGGCTGGACCAATCCATTGGACAACCATCAAAAGGATCATGAGGTACTTAAAACGTACTTTGAACTTCAAATTATGCCTTGGAGGTGATAATATTAGTTTACATGGTTATTATGATGTAGATTGGGCTGGAGATGTAAATGATAGAAGATCAATGACGGGATATGTATTCTTTGTTGGAGTGGAAGCAATTTCATGCAATTGCAAGAGACAACCAACAATTGCAACATCAACAATGGAGGTGGAGTATATGGCAGCAAGCCATGGTACACTAGAGGTAATATGGTTAAGACAACTTTTGGAGGACATTAGAGATGTGCAAATGGAAGCAACTCCAATGAAGTGTGACAATCAAGGATGTCTTGCATTTACAAAGAATCCAAAGCATCATTCAAGGACCAAGCACATTGATATTCAACATCAGTTTATAAGAGAGAAGATTGAAATGGGAGTGATTGATATAAAGTATTGTGCAACAGACGACATGCTTGCTGATTTGTTGACAAAGGCATTAGTAAAGGATAGATACCACATGTTGAAAAAGGCATTAGGCTTAAAATGTATTTGACCAATAGCAAAGTAGGAGTGTTAAAGTAAAAGTAGAAAATATTACCTTGTATAAGATATTATCTTAGGTAAGTTACTAGTGGTCAAAGGTTTGACTCTTGGTATATGGTAAGAGCATCCAATGGATATAGGATGAAGTCATGGATCAAGAGTCAAAGTCAAAAGGATAAAGTATTAACAAGAGAATATCCCAAGACTAAGTATGAGTCATTAGTATATGTCATACGATACCCTCGTCGTTCGTGAGATACCAAAGGATTCTAAGAGCATGTGTGTAAGACGTAAGAGTAATTAGTATTGGACATAGGATACTCTTGGGACTCGTGAGATGCCAAAAGGATCCTAGGGCCGTGTGTGTAATAGTCAAAAAGTGGACGTTGTTTTTTAGGGCAGCAACTACCACCTATAAGTAATGGGTGTTGGAAATGAGAGATATCTTACTCCATACTTTCTTTGTGTGCAACCTTCCTGATGCTAAGTGTTGTGTCTTCTAAGTACTTGTTTTCTTAATACTATCAACTATCTTCGAAGAGAACAAAGATCAAAGTATGTGGCAAATACAATTTGTTACATCTTAGATTTCTTCAATATATGAAGACTACTGCTCATAGAACTCATTTTTAGAAAGAGAAGTAATATCATGGATATACATAGGTACTCTAATAAATATCTATATGATTAAGTAGAAATACATAAAAGTAGATAAAAATAAGTTAATGTCATTATACCTTCTAGAAAAGCTTTCTAAAAGCTTCATAGATATTGCTTTGACTTTACATGTATTTATAGTTGATTGATAGGTTTGAAACTTGGTCAATAAGTTAACCATGTGTTGATAGCTTATAGAACAAGTTGACTATATGGTACACATATAGAAAACTTGTTTTATAAGTTACGATATATATCTTGTAAAGTCAACTTGTTTTGGAGATCTTATAGGACATTGCTACACAAGTCCTAGTTAAGAGTATATATGGAGGCAAGAATGAAGCCTTCTTCACTCTTATTAGCACTTTTTTAGTCTTTAGTCTTATTTCAAGACTTTTTAGTTTTCTTATTTTTTGCAATAGCCATTCTAGTTTATTTTTTTATCATCTTTAAGTGAATTTTTAGTTCCTTTCAGTGAGACAAGAGTGTATTTAAGATTTTTTTTCTTTGAGATTCATCTCTTTGAAAATTTTCTTTTAACTTATTTCATTTCTTTTTCATGATTAGAAGACATAGTTAGAAATTATACTACATATTTTTGTTCTTATTTTGAATCTATGCATAAATTGAGCCATCATCAAGTACTTTTGTTTCCATCTATATTATTGTAATATTAAATGTTAAATGGAATCAATTCATGCAACATTTTAAAAAGTATGTTTTGCATTTGACTTTGGCAGTATCCAATTTGTATTTTCTTCAACATTGAATCCCATGAATATTTTTCTTAAGTATGATAAACATTCTCAATGCATATTTGGAAGCACAAGTTCACTTGTAAGACTAAAATAAAGGAATAAATAAATCGATGCTTCGGTAACAAAATTCATTCTATAAAAATCAATTACCTTAAGTCGTACAAACATACCATTCATTGATCTTCCATGTATTTGACCATTCATCAAGTGCACCAAGTAGTAAATAGCGAGACACCACATAGCTTAGATATTGGAGACTGTCGAACACTGGAATAGCAGAGTAACACTGCATATTCGATTCACAAGCGAACAGGTTCTGTGTGCGACACAAAAGCACTCACATGCGGACTTGGTTCAAAATGATTTGAATTCGAAGAGATGCGAAGAGATGGGCTCTTGGTCAAATAAGTCGTCCAGGAAATACATACAGTAGGGGGACGTAGAAGGTATTTTTAGATGCCCAGATCCAGGACAACTCTACAGTCGAGCAGAAGGCTTCTTACTAAGAATGGTGTCTGCTGCAAAACGAGCTACCCAGTTGGAGCCCGCCTTTGAGCAGCAGAAGGCATGCAGGTGTCCTTCTCTTTCGACGGAGAGATATAGCTCCGGGATGTTTTCGGATATCTGCAGGTCATTTATTGAGTTAATTTGCTAGGTGATATTGAACTATAAGAGAGCTCAAAGATCAGCATGATGGCATGATAAAAGAAGAGGCACAATAATCAACTTGTTTCAATGTTTAGAACTTAGAACTTACAAATCAACGAGGGTTGCAGGAGAGGGAAAGAGGCAAAATACATGTACGCACCTCATCAAGGAGCGTCAATGGCCCCCAATGATCATCAATACCAAACAAGAATGAAGTCTTGTTTTGATTTTCCTTCAAGTATGCCAAATCTGGCTCTTGAGATAACTATAAACAGAGCTAAATGCAATCAGGAAATCATTTGTCCTTGGTCATGCATGGATGTCATGTAGCTGCGTCTATACATAAACATTAAATCGAACGACTGCATACAACTCCTTTCATTTTAAGAGAGATCATTTTGTGAAGAGTATATCATATAATACGTTTGTGACTCTTACCGATGCAAATTCAGTCCTTCCCATGTACAAGAAATTGTGTACAACATTTTTCTGCACAAAGTTGAAAAATGTTGCAAAAGGTGTAAATCAGGCCATTTGGTAAGAGGTGACAGGTTAAGGAACATATTGTACAGCACAGTAGGTCACAAAAAAGCTTTTGTGAGCTTAAAAATTTAAAATTTGATGTCATGACATATGTCGGGTTATTACACGTCACGGGGACTTCGATAATATAACTGTATTCTCAACCAGAATGATCATTGCAACAAATAGGTTTCATTGAGGTAGCGAGGAATAATACCTGTAACATGTATTGGCACGTCACATCTACAGCAAGGGGATCCCATACACGGCCTAACAGCACTTTCACTAAAATCCTTCCTAGACCTTTTGGGAGCCGTCCCACAAGACCTGCAAATGTGCTTATTGTTGTACAAAGTGCTGGCGTCCTACCCAAACGACATTTAATAGGTAAGCTGATCCATTAAAAAATAGCTCTTGAGATGATACCAATCCATTATTCAAGTAAATAGTATTTATAAATCTTCGTCACACACGCCAAAAGACTTGTGAGGACAAAGCAACGTTTTCAGACATCCAATTGTAACATGTACACATTTGTAAACAGGGTTATCGAGTGTTCTTACGCAGCCACTTGTCCCAAGATGCTCTGAAACTTCGAATGCTTGTTCAAAGTCAAAAAAGGATAAAGCCCAATAACATGATGTACCTGCATAAGATGTCTTCGAATACACTTTTTAAAATTTGGAAATTAAAATAAGTCGGGATCTTATGAATTTCTTCCCTCATCCATGGATAAGAAACCGAATTTGGGGGTTTGGGATCTTAAATCGAAATGACAAGCGAAAGAAACAAAATCACCTGTGGGAGATAGAACTTGTGAAGAGTAAAAGAATCAGAGAAAGGATAACGAGAGCAGAAAGATGCTCATGTACTGTATGATGTCAAATGCGAGACTTTAAACAACGACCATGCGGGGCGTTCCTATATAACTGCCAAGAAATTCCACTAGACATAAATGTTGTGGTTTAGAAGATTCAGGGAACAGCGAGGGATCATTTATTAAGAACGTGCCCTGAAAGTCATAAACACTACCCACCTGAGAAGGGAATTCCTTGAGGATTTCCAAAGCAATGTAAGCCCCGATGGAATGACCCACCTGCGTAATACAGAATAACTCAAATCAAGATAAAATGATATTTAACAAAAGTAAAGCAATGATCTTTATAGCTTTTGACCCGGAAAGACGATATGGAAATAATTATTAAATTTTTGTGTAAGGAAAGAGAGCGAAACAAATTCAAGGTATACGGGCACCCTTCAGAGTAACAATTTATAGCATGACACAGGTTTTCGCGAAGAAAACGTACCAGAAAAATTGGGACTTCTGGTGATTCTAGAAGAATAATGTCTCTCACAAATTCAACCTGGTCAATCCCCGGCCTCTTAATAACCCAGAGGATCTCTGTCATCTTGTAATAAACTACCAGCCTGACGAAAGATGACAACACTGGACATTGGTATTGAATACATTTATTTATCACATTTCTAGCTTCTGAAGCACCACATATTAACAAAGACGCTTACGTCATTGCCGTAAGGCCTTAGTGCTACTCCATTACTGCCAAAATTCTCAAGTTGACCATATTAGACTCCTTCATCTACATTCACATTTGAGGAGCATCATCACCAATCGATCCCTAACTATATATGACTCGAGAAGAATTTCATAGGCAGAATTAGGAATTGCCTTATGTTTTATTTGATCTTGCAAAGTGAACAACCTTCCAAGCTCCCAATCCTGTGATCAAACGCTCAAAAGTATCAATTAACATACTACTGTGATGTGTAATTCACATCAATCTGTTGTTAAGATCTGCTCCAATTGGCTTTGTGAATTCGATAGAATCTGCTGTGTGAAGTGATCAGATAACTAAGAAACCCAAAAATACTAGAAATCAGCTCAAATGAAGATTGACCGGCAAAAATTATCAAACAGGTATCCAGAAACACAAAGAGCTGGAAGTTCAAAGGTTAAGAATTTGACAGCATGATTCCTAATCGAAACCAATTAGAATCAAATACAGAATGGGGCAGTATACCTTCGACACATGTGCGATATGGCTGATCGCTGCAACAAAGACAGAAATTCCTCAGACTTTGTTGCATCAGTCAACATTGCTACTATCTAGGAGTAGCATCTGAAAAGGCTTCAAGTATTTTAAAATCTTATTGTCTACGAACATCGCAGCAGTAGGCAATTACTCAAAATATTGTAATATAAACATACAATGCAATACGCAAGCAAAGACTTCACAGTGCAGCTAAAGAAAAGTGCATTGTTAGGTGGAAAATAGAACACAAGAAAATCAATGGAGTAGATAGCACCTGTAACCGATGCTTGACCAGCGAGGTGGTCGAACAGGGCCTCGAGAAAGTCTTTGTAGTAGGCCACCACACCTTTCATAAAGATGCATGATACTTAGATCATCAAGCAAGAAGCAGAAAAGATGAAACACTAGCCAAATATGTTTTGGCTACATAGTTCAACATATGAAAGATAACTTGCATGAAACAGAGTCACAGCTCACGTAGTTGGCAAGTTAGAGGCCGTCTATGAAGACTACGATGGTTGGTAAACATGTTCATGTGGAATATTTATGGTGAGGCTAACCTTTTCAATAACGGCAGCAGTTCAAATAAAAAAGAAGAAAACCGTGAGTTTTCTGTACCAAACCTGGGTTACCGGGAACGAAAAAAACATGAAAAGCCGGTTTGTCCGCACGTAAGTCCACAATCTCTGTAGCATGTCTGTTGATGGAAACAATCAACCAAGTTAATAATGAGACTTGACTAGGTAAATTGCCAACAATGTCCATAAAAATACTTACTTTAACATGTGGTATTCTCCAGATAACTGTGTAGATATTTCCTGAAAATGCCACACGTTTAAGGAAACCTGATCTTCTCCTTGCGTCCTTGTCTAAAACTATGCTGAAGTCTGAATTGAAGATGAAGTTTAGATGTTCACCTTCCAATATTCAAGATCAAAAGAATCTCAGTTGAAAATCACTTGTGAAATTCAGGGGAGCCAGATACTAGGCAATAAAAGCAAGTGAAGTATCACATACCCGCCAATTCTATCCACGCGGAAGGATACAGGAGGGGTTGAGACTGAAGGCAGCCCCATGGTTGGGACCCTTAGGGATTGCTCCTTTAACCTGCTACGAGTAACCTGAAACCCATTCATACAACATAAAAAATCATTTACAATTCACAAATATTTCAACATGCAACGGTTGCAACATGCACCAACTCTAAATTTCCATTTGACTTGCACTGATATCTGGTGAGTTTAGATTTTACGTAGCTTCGGATGCCTTTGGCAGAAAAAATCATCCTAAAAACCCACTCGCCTACATTATAATGGTGGCCGCAAGCAGTAAAAATGATTCTCCCAATTTTAACACTAGCATTGAGCTTTCAAGTATTGAGTAGCAGATAATCCAGATTCAAATCTTTGGCATGATTCAGATTGGCGAGCTAATCGCTTACGAAATTACTCAAAACTATAAAAATCAAACACCCAGACACTCTAAACCAACCAAGTCTCGGACCGGACAGAACAAGCCAATTAAAAGAGTTATGGAGTTGTATTTTAAACCACTCTGTTGAACAATCAAGGAATTATTCCAAGTTGCACACCATTAGGTGATCGCTTCCAGAAAATTATATCAATCACAAATCACAAGAATCACAAGAAGGGATCAATAAACCGAGACGAGAAAAAGGAGTGAGCGCAAGACGAAGTTACAAGCATGCGGCAGAGTAGGAAAACGAACCAAACGCACGCGTGGCGTGGACGATGAGGCAAACGGAAATTTCTTGACGCAGAGGACAAATCGATAGGCTGCAACAAGCATGCTGCTTGATCACACAGATGGGTCTCGCTCTTGTAGAAAGCAATCTCAAGAGCTGGGGCGGGCTCGCGAATAAGCTCAACAAAGAAACAAAGACTTTGTGGCTCTTTTTAGCCAGGGTTCCGTGCCGTAAGGCCCGGCACCGAGCCTCACAGTCGATCAGGGCCCAACAAAGCTCACCGATCTCATGCCCAACAAATTTAGTGTGACTCGTAATGTTGCAGAATGAACACCATAGAACATTGCACATTTAGTTTGGAGAGAGTGGGAGACAATGTGGGGATGCAGAGTGTTTTTTTGTCACCTCTACACGATATTTACGTTACCACAATCCGGGAGAAGCTTGCTGCACGAATTTGTCCTTTACATATACTTGCACTGATGCCACGATCTATGCTCGTGAGTCACTGAACTTCTCCATTGTTTCTGATATTCATTAGCTTTCTGAGCTGTGGGAACCTCCAGTAAGGCTGCCTGTCTTTCAAACGCGTTTTCGACATCAGCAGGAAGCAAGAAGTGTGCTGTAGTACAAATTCGAAATTACAGAAACAATTCTGAAAAGTATTAACTACAGGGTGAGCTCCATACTTAGGCTTATTCTTTCAGATATTCCATCAGTGAATACGGGCCGTTCAAAATTTGTTATTAATCTTTTGTGAAGTTGTTGGTGCTGGTAGTGATTGGACTTCCGCTGCTTAGCCATGGCTAACAGTTTGTTCCTGATCTATAGGAATATTTACAGTAATCGCTATTACCATTGAGTGCTGCAGGAATTTGAAAACTGGAATTCATGTTACAAAATTTGAGGACGGTGATTGTCGTAGTGGCTACTGGCAGTGAACAACTCCTGAATGGTTGGTTCTCCAAGAGATGTCGTCTGTAAGAAATTTCACCATGCTTATGGCCGTCCAATGAATTGGCTGGTAATCTTGCCCTATCTTTTGATCACTGAAGAGAATGGCTGTCATTGAAGGCCTCTTTCTCTGGAGATACCACATAATATGCTTTGAAACATTTCAGATAAAACTGGGAGCCCGAGTCTGTGATTGAAGGTCCATGTGCATGGGTATCAATCGTCAGCTGAGATGCTCTGGGAGGTGGTGGGAGAGTATGGGTGGGTAGAGAGACTTTCACAACCGTAACAAGTCACTGACGAGCAGAATTTGGTGAAGCGCAATAAATAGGGAGGACAATAGTTTCTACGTAGAGATTCAAAGTCGAAAACTTCTCTCTCTCTCTCTCTCTCTCTCTCTCTCTCTCTGTGCATGTCTATGCGCTTACTTAAATATTTGGTAAAGGAGCTGTGAAGATCTAGCAACTTAATTACAGTGCTGGTGCCTGTGTATTGCGCTGAGAATTTGGATTATGCAGTCCTAGATCTGTTGTACCAACTCCAGCTTACATGAAGCCTATGTATTGTTCATTGTTCCTTCCACAGGGGTAAGTGAGTAAGAGAGCTAGTGCATACCCACCAAATTTGCTTCAAACCGCTTTGCTGGGTTCTCGGAATCATAAGATTCTCAAACTGCAGGGAGATGTTTTTGCATGTAAATCTATTATTGCTGCAATGGGTGTACCAACATTTAACGTTCATCAGGATGCTTCGAGAAGCTTTTCACCTTCTATATGTTCACATAACTACTTTGCTATTAGCATCTTTGATACCCCATTTTCATATGTTGTGTCGCATCTGCCAATTTATTAAGAAACGCGACAATTTACTCTTTGAAGAAAATAAAATAAAATAAAATAAAATCTTAACACCGACTTAGATTTAGATTCATGGCATGTTGAAAATAGGACTCAATTTGAAAACTTTTGGGTTTTTCATCCTCTGTTCCGCATTTCTATTATCATCAACACGACATTCAGAAGTCCTCTTGTTATGCTCTGCTTACAATGCTTGTGTTTTGTTGTTGAGTTTTATGCGGTACCCAATAAGCTCCAGTCCCAGCATCCCTTCTGTTCACTGTTGAAGTGAGCCGAATGTCATTATATTTCAGGTATCTGTGGTGGTGGAGTCAATCTTCAAAGTTTATCCATATACATCCTCGAAATTGCAAACTGAATCCAAAAGCCAGTTGCACGGTTGCATTTTCTCCCTACGCACCAATTCATTTCACAATATGAAAATTATCCTCAGACCGAAATTCTCACCAAAAATCCTGAGGCTGTCGTTCTCGTAATGAGAGCTTTACATTGTTTCAAAACTTAGAAGTGTTTAATGTACAGCTGCTCTTTCTCTGACAGCATTCTCACAGCCCAGTGTTAATAGTTTGTAAATTAATGAAGGACTGGATGGAATGCGTGTTGCTGAATATAGTTCCCTTGTTAGATTCTTGTGATGAGAACATATGCGTCACTAAACTGAAATCGATCACACTGAGGATATCGATTTGTAATACAAGAATTATCACTGAGTTCGCACGCTATTGAAAGGTGGTTACTAAAATAACAAGCATGCGCAAACTGAACCCTACTGTGATCGGTTTTCCTCAAGTGCTTCTACCATTGCCCACACAATCCAGTTCAAACAATCCGAGTATACTAACAATTCTACAAAGCAAAAGTGTTTACTTGTTGCCTACACTTTGGCAGAAAAGATCACTTCAGGTTGGCTTGTGTATGAACCTGACTTGCCATCTAAGGTTAATGGAAACATCTGGAAATGTAAAGTTACGATGATTTGTTGCTCTGATTTGCACAATAGCAACAATATACCAGATGTACTACCAATAGCTAATTATGGCAACTTTGTATGAATTATTCCAACAGGAATGGAATAATTTATACAAATCATTCCATTCTCATTAGCCACTAAACCAAACACAAACTATTGCATTTACTACATTGGGAACTTCAACAAAAAAATAGGATACAAATGTATAAAGTTGATTGGAGAGTTAATAGCAAATTGACTACTCCTCCCTAAAGCTGTTTAAACTTTTCTCTATATTCTTCCATATAGTAGTTTAAACTCTTTCATGTGATGGATTCAATCTCATGTTAATAATTTGGGCATGCCTATTGTCACATATACTTTAACTAAAGCTACATACACTATGATGTGATTAATTAATAAATTATCTCCTTACAAATAGACCAGTCGTATAATAAATAACTCTTACATCTTGAGCATCTCCTTTACCATTTGACACTCTGCCATCTACTTCATTAATATTAGCCATACATTTATATACCTTTCAAACAATTTATGCCATATCAAAAACAAATGGATTGCCAATGTAGAATAAAGACAACACACAATTATTCTTCAAGGTTGCATTCTTGAAGTGCCTTGGTTGAAGATAAAATTTATCTTCTATTATTCCATGGCAATAGCAAAATACTCTTATTCCAAGTCAAGAGCCACAGACACCATTTCTTTATATAGGATGGATGTGCCAATGTGTTCAACAACCAACCTATGTCAATTTACATTGTTTAAGATATTGTCGTATAATTGTCAACTATCATGTCAAGTGTGTACTCTACAATTGTGTTGGAGTTGGAGTTGAAGAATTGCTAGTTGAAGTGACCATAACATTAGAGTTGTCATTATTGCTGGAATAGACATTATAAAAGTCAATGGTTAGTGAGTGTAATCTTTGCACTTTGCTAACTGTAGCAAATAAAGAATTTCCATCCCTTGAAGCCATAGAAAAGGCCTTCAATCATTTTGCTTTTGGTGAAGGATATAGCATTGTAATTAAGACCTTGTGCAAGCAACAAAATGGTTGTTATTGTGTTTATTACAAATGCAATTGTGGAAGAAGTTATTACAACCATCTTGACTTGATAGAGGAAAAACAAATACATACAACGTCAAGTGCACTTTCAAGCTGCCGATTTAAATAATTGGCCAAGAACATGAAGACCAATGGTCATTCAAAGTGTATCATGAGGATTTTAATCACAAATTGTTTGAGAACATGTTTGTGTATGTTGTGCTTCTCAAGTTTGACACTCAAATGAATAAGTCCATTATCAATGTATAATGTTGGGATTCTAAGATAAAATATACACATTCATATGAAGAACTTGCACAATTGGATTATTTCAAAGAAGAAGTTGCAAAATATCCAATAAGAAATAGTTCAAAAAAAGTTGGATAAACAAATGTCCATGGACATTTGTAATGCAGGCTTTACTATTGAAACATGTGTAGATGCTGGTGGGACAATAATTCTCTTCTTTTTGAATGTCATTGGGCTTTGTCACTTCTAGGAAAAGCGTGGGATGGGATGCGGCCAGAGCAGAGGGAAACAGAGAGTGAGGACATCCGGTGCACCCCCCCTTCAATACCTCGAGGTGCATGCCTCCCCTTGTGAGGACCATGTCTTCACCATGTTGTCATCAGCTTGTTGTCATGCTTCAATGCATTTGTTGCAGTCATTAAATGTCTACTCTTTACACAAGCCGGCGACGTCTTTCGTAGCAGTGCTCAAGTGAGGGTACATGCGCCGCAGAGCTCTTCTTTTCGATACCCATTTCTCATCTCTGTGCGAGTTTGTGCACAAATTTTGTGGCTCTTTGGATGGCAGGATGGTTTGCATTTAGACAAACGTTGAGGGTAACTATATTGCACGCGCCCGGAGCAATTACCGTTGTGGCTTTCGCGGCTGGAGAATGATGGGTCTTGTTGGACTCTTTGGGGTTCACCGCGACTCGTTCAGTCTTCGATCGTTTCTTGGACTAGGTTTACTACAGGCTTCTGATTCAACGGAATCGAAACGGGGCTATTTGCGCTAAGATCCATCCCTTAAGGCTGTCCGCGTTTCCACCGGAGTTTCTCCCCCGAGATACAATAGTAGAATTTAGCGGCCATATGGAACTCGCAACTACAGCAATGAGTATGGCTCACCACCTGGCATCTCATTTGCAGGCCAGTGCAACCTGGTAACGCGTCTGAGATCATTCTCAAGAGTCATGTATCTGAAGGAGGACAGGGTTCGCAGGATCAAGCAGGGAGATTCCTCTGTTTTCAAAAGCTTCACACTCTTCAAGAAAAATCCATGAACACTACGCGAGGTTTGGTCACAACTCGCTTTCAGAGAGTGAACGCGTTTTTTTATATTTCACTTGTGTCGATTCTCATCTTCGATCCACAACCCATACCCGAAAAGTAAAAGCCCCGATTCGGCCGGGCTTCGACAAGCACCAACGAAAAGATCCAAGTCTTATCCAAACATTCTGACGTGGCTGAATTCCTTTTCATGGGCTTACACTCTTATTGGTCTTACACGCTCCAGGTGCTTGCTATGCAGAGATTGCAACCCTTTCTTAGCCTCAGTTCTTTCTCACGCTGTGACAGCAATCTCCGTCCTGTGTCTGTCGAAAGATCGTAGCTATGGCGTCCTTTGTTGCGTGTCAAGTAGTGTCCACTGTAGCCGTCGTCCCCAAGGTGGCCCTGACCAAGCCCACCTCCGCTGCCTCGAAGTCGCAGCTCTTCGCTCCATTGAGGCTCAAGGAGTGCTCCTCTCGTGGACCTAAGGTGGTGTGTGCTGTAGGTGATGTGTCTGCTGCAGGCACCAACTACCTCATTGCCGGCGCCGTTGCAATTGCTCTGGTCGGCACAGCATTCCCTATCTTTTTCTCTCGAAAGGATCTCTGCCCGGAGTGTGACGGCGCTGGGTTCGTGAGGAAGACTGACTCTGCGTTGAATGCCAATGCAGCCAGGAAGGATCAGCTCCAGATTGTGTGCAAGAACTGCAACGGGCTCGGCAAGGTCGGCCAAATCGACAAGATGGAGCAGACTGCCGCTAAGGGCAAGAAGAGATAAGCTCCCATAGCTCCGATTCTTCTCCTTCTAGCTCACAGATCTGAAACCTCTTCTTAAGCATCGTCTCCTCTAGATCCCTGCCTCATTGCATAGTGTGCTGCACCAAGCCGCATGGTTTCTGTTGTGCATTCTTGTGATATAATTTCATAACGTCTTGTGACTACTCTCTCGTCTATCGTCTCATTCCCGGTGTTTGTATCTCGCAACACACAGCGAGACTTTCTGCATCACCATTTGTAAACCTGTGTTTTCTGTGTATAATCTCGTCTTTGATGCGTGGCTCCCATCGTCGATCATTACAGAGTGTGTCTGCTCAGTCTCTTAGCTTCTGTTCTTCTTATGAGGACTTTTACTGTCGCGCTTTCGATCGCACCTTCACTTCTGATTGTCACCGAATGTGTTGCTTTCGCGAGCTGATGAATCCATTGCGACGGCATCGCAAATCCATTCAGTGAACGATGACGTTTACTGTGATATCTCCCCACATTGCATTGTGCAGGATGGAAAGGTTTATACCTTTTTCAACTTAACCTGGATAGTTTTGCAACACGGATTCAGCTATGACGCAGCCATTTTTATTACCACTTGAGAAGAGTGATGAATGCACCATCTTGTGAGGACTAAACTGCTATAATGTTATGTAGCATTTTGATGTTCATGTGCTACGGAAACAGGTATTCAAATCGCTTGCAGGAAACCGAAATTGATTCTCTGACTTACTTATACGTTAAGTATTATTTTAAGTTCATGCTTTTAATTTAAGTTAATTATTTTGAATTATTTTATTGTTGTCAGGGGTGCAATTACCTTTCACTTGATTGAATTTGGTAAATGCATGATCTATATTTATTATTTTCACTCGAAATGCAAATGGAGTTAGGTATGTGTCACTGTGAACATGCTACAATGAGATATAACATACTGAATGCCGAATTGCTCGAATAAGTCAACCGTAGTGTAGTACTGTAAAGTTACATCAATTATGTAAAGCAATCCATACTATGCATTTAATGAATTATGTTAACTTCACCATGTTAGTGAAATTTATATAATAAATCTAGTACATTGTATTTTTTTCCAATACAAGAATTATTGTGAAGATTGATGTTCAAAGATAACCAATAATGTTCCTAGTATCTGGTTATTGTCAGGCTTTTCTATTCTTACACAAAAATATGAATACAAAAGAATAGTAATGTTTGATGATGCTACCACCAAACTTCAACAGTTGTCACGCATCATTAATTCTATGCACACAGCACATTTAGAAGTGACTGTTTAAACACCTTTATTGTATTTCACTAAGAGGATGCATATGCAATAACAAGCCTCAAATCTTTCGCCATACAATTGAGCGGGTGATAAGAAACTCTTCATTACTTCTATCTCATGAGTAAATCCATCAAATTTCTCCGGCAATATTTCAACGATGAATGCAGTAACATCGTCAGTAGGAGCTGTTGTTAAGATTCAGGTCACAGCTTTCCTCCAGCTTCATTGAACAACCACATGTGTGTAACCCGCAGCCAAAGAGAAATGGGATCTTGTACTACCTGGTGTGGTTGCTATCCTCCTCCCCCCTCCTCCGCAAGGAAGGTGACTACAGAATTCTTTCATGTCAAGTTTCTCCCAGCAGCTACAAGCACAAAGTGGAAATTTTCGTCACTTCCCAGGGAGAGAAAAGTTGGGAAGAAAGAAATAGTGTTCTCGAAATGACGCGGTTGAAAAGAGAATTAGGGTTCAGCCAGTTTCTTGAAGTACTTGAGAATTTTACGAATGCAAGGTGTCAAGAAATGCCGTGAATCTGCTCTAAAATTCCAAACCTCTAAAAAACTGGGATCTCTAATGTCGATGATGCAGCTTCTCTCTCTCTCGGTATGCCTCAGCGTACCTGCACACACGCAAAATGTCATGGATTCCGTGTATTCTTTTGGCATCACAGTACGTTTCCATTTGTTTGTTGATTTGTTTGATCTTTTAAATATTATGATTATTATTATTATTATTATTTTATTATTATTTGTTTTCTTCCTTCCTGCAGCAACTCTTATTTTTAAGGTAACATCCCCTTTTTCAACAAGCAAAGCTCATCTAAAGAGGAAGAAAACAAACGCGAAAATTTCCAGAACAACTTCACAAAAACGCTTCAACCCCAAACCTGCTGAATATAGTGAAGATACAACAAACAGATACACAAATGAAACATCCAGAGAAAAGATGTAAAATGAAAAAAGGGAAAGAATACAGCACCCCAGAAAAGAAAACATAGTCACAAATTTTGATAACCCTGCATTAACCAAATAACAAGTCTTCCACCAAAGACCAAAACCATAAGATACGAGATGCCATCCCTCACCAACTCTTGATGGTGAGACACATGCAACAAACCAACACACAACGGCAAATAGCATAGAAACACACCCGTAGCTGCCGAGGACAGGAACCAACAGAAACAGTGCCGACACCCAGTTGTCATTGAACCGCTTCATGGTCTTGTACCGAACATCATGAAGAAGGCCTCGCCATATGTGTTGATGGCAAGGGGACAGTGAATAGGTGACCTCCTTCAGCCGGACCGGCACCTTCCCCATAGCTTGCAAATGCTAACGCACTCTAAAGCAACACAAAAAAAAAAAAAAAAAAAAAAAAAAACAAAAACAAAAACAAAAACAAAAGGATATCAAAACCACATCTACGGAGCATGCAAAGACATGAAATTGAAGGTGAGGAAGAATGGAGGCTGAAGCAGCAAAACCCATGTGCAAGATTGGGCAACAACAGGAGCAAGAATTTGTGTGCAGTTGTGCGAGGAGGTCCTGGGTGGCGGTGGTTACAAATGAGCTGGCCTTTCCGGATCACACCACATCATGAAAAAGACACTAGTTACATTGCAAGGGGGGCTAGTAGACTATGCTCTCATCACAAGGCAGGCAACTCAAAATTCCTCATTCTGATTAGTCTAAAAATGTACACAAACTACTGGTGGAGGATGACGAGTACTCACTTGCATTCAACTCAGTGCAGGTGAGTGGTTCGAATCCTTGTTTTAGATTTTTAACTGTTTTATATTTTGTGAAAAAACAATGCATGAATAATTTTTTTTGTTGTTAAAAAAAAAACAAAGAATCTCAATAAATAAATAAATAAATAAATAAATATAAATAAATAAATAAATATATATATATATTATTTACTTTGTTTTGGTGGTGGGTTTGTTAGTGGTAGATGTCTGATGCATACTTTTAGTCTTGTCCTAACTTTAGAAATTAGTATCTTGGTAAAAAAAAAAGTACCAATAAAACCAAATCTATTCCCATTGAGAATCTCTATAAAGCCCCCCACAGCCATTCCATGACGGCGACGGTTATCTGCGGCAACCAGCGGCATAAATCGGATAAATTATGAACGTTAGACTGAGCGAGGGAATCAGTGGCCCAGAGCAGCCCAACTTGGATGAATACTTACTTTCATGCTTTTTCTACACTTTCATCCATCCTTTCTCACGGCGTACTGGGTGACTGCCAGGTGTCCATCAATCTTATGTGCCAAGTGGTGGTGCAGGCATCGTTCCCCGTGTCCGAATTATTCAATTAAAAATGGTCTCGACTATGTATATGTTGTAGTCAGTATTTCGATCGCCCTCTCTCTCCCTCTCTTTCTCGATATTCAATCACTCGCAATCCTTCTGTTTCTTCGATTTTTTATTCTGCTACTTCATTGGTTTACTCAATTTCATCGACAATGAATTTCTTCGGGAACAACAACAACAACACCCAGGACGCCGCTGCCCAGAAGGCGGAGGAGACCAAGGCTTCCACCATGGTAAGGAACCCACCTGATTGTCCACAGGGTCCACTTCTGTTATCCGTGAGTTGCGTATAGTTGAGCAGTTGGATTCTTTGTTCCGAATCACTGGCTTTTGTTAAATATGAATCTCTCAGGACATCGCTGGGGCCGCCCAGAACAAGGCCCAAGACGCCGCTGGAGCTGCAGGTGACAAGGCCAATGAAGCCAAGGAGGCTTCGGCCAACGCTGCGGGAGCGGCCCAGGACAAGGCCTCGGATGCTGCGGGAGTCGCGCAGGATAAGGCTAGCCAAGCGCAGAGCCTTGCTGGTGAGAAATTGCAGCAGACACAGCAGGCTTCAGCAAATGCGGCCCATGCCGCACAGCAGAAGGCCATGGAGGCCAAGGATGGAGCTGGAAACATGCTGCAGCAGACTCAGAATGCTGTGGGCAACGCACTCAACGCTGCCAAGAACGCAGTTACCCCCAACCAATAGATTTTTCTTTGTTCAGTCGCTCAACAATGATGATTAACTCTTTCGATGAAAGGGTAGACAAGAGAACTGTAAATTGCCGTGTACTGTATAGGTCACGCCGCTTTGTATGTAATACAAGAGCTCGCAAGAGCGTTCAGTTTTTTATCTCTTTGTTGGTACATTAAGTATTTGAATCAGTTTCTGTATTGTTCTCTTCTTTACATCGGTTAATTGGTAGATTTGGTACGATCTGATCGGTAGGTATGGAATGTTGGTAAATTTCTCGGGACTTACAGATAACAAAACTTATCGAGTTTCACCAAATTGGGTGTTTTACTACTCAGTTATGCACAATTCTTTTTCATTTTTTGAGGCGTCGAATTTTCCTACAAGTATTGGTGCGTAATGTTACACTGAAGTAGCAATTTTCGTGATAAGACTGTAGAGGTGGTGATGAATATGTTAAGATTATATAATATACCAAGTTCCCGCAACATTATTATGTGATGTAAAGGATTCGAGGCACCCGATTGTCGATTTGTGCAAGATAGGTTATCAGATCTAGTGTGAGTTAAGCCACAGCCTACAGAAGATTGAATTAATCATGCTCACCAGATTGAGTTTTACTTGCTGGGAATGTGTCACGGGAGATGAAGCGTGTAGCAATATTCTTGTTTGAGAAAATACCTCGAAAATGTCTGCTTCAGTGAATAGAATAACCGTCAATAATTGCATCCTTCCATAGGAAGATGGTACCTCAAAAAATTCAAGTTCAGTATCAAAGAATTGGACTTACAAGAAGTGCTGACCAAGTGGACCAAACACGAGAATCGCGAAAACCGAACCCAAGACAAAGCTTGTTCATTGCAAGTTGTCGAACAAACCCACATTTACAATGAGAATAGTCCTCGATCATTAACTATTGACCACCCTCTTGATTCAATATTTTCCAGAATCCTAGTCTATAGAGTGAACACATGCACTCATAATTCATGCTTTAGAAATTACAATTCTGTTTAATACCGTGCGCATCCAAACTCATCGCAAATTTCGATCTGGAATGACTTCTGAATGTACAACAAGACACCATTTCGTAAGCAGGCCGACTAATACATTAAGAATTGCGCTAAATTGGCAGTAGAGCGGCGTAGATCCTAGTTCTAAGATGTATAGATACTAGGATTTGGGCGTATATCTAAGCGCACCCTGATAAAGAACCAGTTATAGAAAGTACGCGATGTCAGATTTTAAAGAATACTGCATACTTCTTCTGCTGCAAAAGCTCTGAAGCATAGATCATACAATCTCAGCTTCATAAAGTAGACTGAAGCCCTGAAAGAGTGAAATATCTAGCACAAAGCATGAGTGAGCAAGTCAAGGTAGAGCCTGATCGTTCCGAATTTGGAACCTCAGAAGCTGGTCACCAACAATAGAGGACCTTTTCGTATCCTACAGTCATGTAACAATTTGCTCTTGCGATAGACTGACAAAAACTATCAGGAGTGCATGACTCCGCATCATGCACGTATAACAGAATTGCGAAATGATATGTACTGACACAAAATTTCACGTAAATGGACACTGAAAGCAGTTCGGTTTGAGTTCAGATCAGCCTTCCACAAAATACTTAACTAGTTCAAAAGATTGAAATTCATAATACACGTAGTTAAGCTTTGCTAGCGAACCTAGTCAATAAATTGCATAATTCTTTGGTATGTAACTCGTTATACTGTCTACCTGGTCTTTGAATAAAGTAAATGAAATGTTCACCTCTATGAGTACGTATGGTGAGTAACCCTCTTCACAGGTGAAAACCCTACACTGTCTACCTTCTCCTTTCTGTACAGGGACGATTAACTTTGACCTGCATCCAACCTACACGTCTACCCAAAATTAATGCATGAATGGCAGCATTGCAGTCGACGGTAAAAGAAAGCTTCCGTATACTGTGGTTACTGTTTGGTCAAGGCCGACTTGGCCTTCTGCGCATCCTCGTAGGAACCGTACTTCTTAACTTTCCTGCGTAAGCTTCTTTTGCGACTAAATGCACCTTCAACAGGTATGGCAGCAGTCATGGCATCACGCATGGCATTGACAAGCGTAAGGTTTGCGTCCGTGTATATACTGGTCACAAACCCAGGCTGACCTGCTCTAGCAGTTCGACCTATTCTGTGAATGAAGTCGACAGCTGAAGTAGCAAACTCTGCTTGAATGACATGAGTTATGTTAGGAATATCAAGGCCTCTAGCAGCGGCATCTGTGCAGATTAGCGTACCGCCCTCTTCTTCGAAAGATGACAAGGCTGCTGCCTTATCCTCCACTGATAAGTCCCGATGATAACGCATGCATTTCAGCCCACATTGATCCAGGACCCGTGCAATTGCATCTACGCCTTCAACGCTGTTAGCAAAAACAAGCGTTCTAGCGTTGGACCGACTTTCTCTTAAAGCGTCAGTAAGCACAGACAATAGGTTATTGTCTTTGTTAACATGTACCCACCGGTGTTCTAACATGGGATTGTGGCGATGAAGGAAATTGCCATGGACCCAAGTCATAGCCGGAAATTTCTGCTTGAGAACTGCTCCAGGTGAACTCTTGCCAGCTTGAGGAAGTGTTGCTGCAACAAAAATGTACTGTTTACTTCTCTTATACTCCTTCCTATTCCGCAACCACTCAGATCTCCTCTGCATTGACGCACTCTGTCCACTGGAAGCTGTGCTCTCTTGGGCACGTTGCTCGAAAAGTAAAGAGTTTCCACTTTCGTCGACAATTTCCTGTGCTTCTCTTTCGACCTCCTCTGCCACATCCCCTGCCTCCTCCTGCCCTTCAGCTTCGCTCCAAACTCTCCGAAATTCAGGTTCTTTAAACTCTATCTTCGTCTCTACCGACGCTTCAAGCTCTCGAAGCTTGGAAATCCGCTTCTCTTCTAGACGAAATAAGTCGATGAGCCGACCAACATCCCGCACAAACCCGCCCCCCAACAACATGTCCGCTTCATCAAAAACCACCATTCTCACAGCCTTAACAAACGCTATACGTCGACGACGATTCGCATCGAACCCAAACAAATTATTCAACAAAGCTGCCGGAGTCGCAACAACAACGTCCGGAAGATAAGTCGGCCATCCCTGTCCCCCTGAAATCATATCCACGCGCACCAGAGGCTGTCCGTCCTCACCTCGTAACGCATTCGCCATATCCACAACCTGATGGCACAGCAGTGCATTTGGACACAACACTAAACCCAACCCAAACCCCAAACCCTCAAAAGGGCTTTTCTCCTTATCCTCTGCATCTTCTATCCCGCTCGCACCTGCCTTCCACATCTTCTGCACAAGAGGCGCCAGATACGTGTGCGTCTTCCCGCTGCCCGTCTCCGCAGCTACTACCACATCCCCAGTCCCCAAAATCGAAGGGATGGCTGCCGCTTGTACCAAAGACGGATGCGGCAGCCCCGCACGCATCAATGCCCCCACAACCTCGCCATCCAACCCCAGCGACCTCCAAGTAATGCCCTTCTCAGCCCAAAACCCACCCGCATCCTCGCCGCCTCCTTCCGCCCTGATCCCCGACGCCGAAAACCGCCTCCTGGCTCCAGGAACGCATCGCAGATTGAATCCAATTGTCTCCACCGTCCAAATATTCGAACCGCACGCGCTCTGCAAGCGGTATAAGCACCTGTGCGACGAGCAGCTGAAAGCTGCTCTGGTGTAAGGCACGAGCGCCGACACGGACGCCGCAGCCACAATGCACCGCGCCATGGCTGAATTCCTGCTGCAATTAACGAGTGCTCTTGTGTCGTCGCAGCAGAGACACCGTGAGACCCAGAGGGACTGCCATCAGCCTGAGGATGAAGGCCGAATGTCATCTACGTCATCCGACTTCATCATTGTAATACATTCATCCTATAGTAGACATACCAACTTCCATGCCACTCCTTTGTCCTTTATCATAAACCTCTAAGCAAGTTGTTAGAAGATTGAAATGGTAATTTAACCCCTAAAAATTGTATATCAAAAAGCTACAAAATCGTTTTCCATGATAAAACAGTTGCTATTTGATGTACTAATATTTTATTTATTTTTGTAAAGAAGAATTTTTGAATACACCAACTCAGATGCTCAAAATACCCCGAATATGCATTTCCTACATTATAGAAACCCCAAATTCAAAAAATATGTATATATATATATATATATATATTTTAAATATTACTTAAGCAAGCAGAAGTGCCACTAAGCGCATTCTGTTCCTTGTAGGACTTAGAAACCAGTTGATTTCAAAACCACCACCTCCAACGTGTGAACAGAACTCATTCAAGGGGGAGTTTCCTTCGAGGTCGGGGACCTCGAATGAGGTGCGGACCCAATGGATCGACACCTCAATTTCCACAGTGGATAAATGGCCGCCTGCCCGCCCTGCCCGCCCGCGCGTCGACGCAGCCACAGCTGAATGGGGGGGGGGAGTCAGGCTTTGCTGGGCGGGGCTTTGCACACGCAGTGGTCGCAATAACAATTGCAATGTCTGGATAGCCAGGGAGGGAGGGGGATTCACAGCAGTCTCGGCGGTGGTGAGATCGACGAGCAGTCACGCAGCCATGTTTGCTCTCTGTGCAGCTCGCGTGGTGCCTGCACTCGGTTCTTCGTCCTCCGCGTCTTCGTGTATTGAACTCTCAACCTTATCTGTGCCAGCTCCAATTTCGTGTGTGGTGATTTTGTGTGAAATCGCTGAGAGGTGGACAGGAATCAATTCTGTGAGGAGTTTCATCTACTCAGCGCGGGAGGTTTGTTTATAGGGTTAGATTTTTGTCGCGTAGGGTTATCACCGCTGAGGTTTTGGGCTTATTCGCTGCTGTGATTGTTTGTTCAATTGGGAGTGGTGGAGGTGGTGAAAGGTTATGCGGTTGCCCTTCCTACTCTGCTGTCAGTTTGCAGCTGCGTTAGGTTTACCCCTGAATTGATGTGTTTTCCTCTCCGTGCCCGAATTAGCTTTTCTGCGGTCTGTATGTGCTGATGAGATTGGAAGAATTTTGGTTTTGAGTAGTGAAGAAGTGGGATATTAGTCGTCCGCTCATTGAGATTTGTGCATCCTAACGACGTAGCTTGTTGGAATGTTGCAGCATTCCGGGGTTCTAGAATTACCTCGAAAGGATTATGTGAGGTTTCAAGTTTGTCAGCTCGAACGACATGCGCTACGGTGCGGTGCATTCACTCGGATAGTTTAAATGAAAATCATCGAACCGATTCTGAAGCTAAGACTAAGCTTTTTAGTAGGGCAGATTCTCTGTCGAACGGTTTAGATGAATGTAACTTTAGTAAGCGTAGAGCAATAGGGCGCAGAGACCTTTTGAATCTTGCTGCAGGATTCGGAAGTGCTCTGCTAGTTGAAAGATTAGCGGAAAAAGACATTGCTTTAGCAGTCTCAAAGAAAGACCCCTCCCCAAAGAGCCCTGTCGATGAGAAGAGATTGCTCGATCAGAATCGGAGGATGCAAAAAGTCAACAATGCTCCAGAGGATTTTCCTACCTTTATTCGCGAAGGTATATCTTATATTGTTTGATTCAACAGTATCGTGTAGTTATTTCTTTCCAACGGTGTTGTTCCCCTCTTTTTGTAGCCATGTGATGTCTCTTCTTTTCTACGATCACAGTAATGATATTCTGGGGCACTGTTCTTACTTTTTCTATCAGCGGGATCTCTAAGGAAACACAATTTGGTGCGTTCAGGATTCCAGGTGAAGGTGATAACGGATGACAAGTACACGACGGCCGAATCGGGACTCATTTACTACGACATTGTTGAAGGCCAAGGGGAGTCGCCGAAGGATGGGCAGCAGGTATTTGCATTGATCTCCTTGCATAATCAATTTTTTGTTATACATTTTGTTATATTTATTTTATTTTGATGTTTTAAAAAAATCAATTAAAATTTAAGAAATGCTGTTTTAGAACTTTACAGGTGGGATGGATTTGGTCGACGCTAACCTGTGCTTTTAACGGTTGTTGGGAGTAGTTAAAATTCCATTACATAGGATATAACGAGAATGGACGGCGCATTGATAGTAGCTATCAACAAGGTGAACCTGCACGTACAAGACTTGGTATCAAAGGGATGATTCCTGGTAAGTCTTCTAGCCTTTCACATCATAGGTATGTAGGCTCTTCTTTTAATTATTCGTTTGTCGGATTGAAGGCCTTCGCTGAATGGGATGCTTATTTATATAGGTTTCGAAGAAGGGATTCGGACCATGAAGCCTGGAGGCAAGCGTCGGATTGTTATTCCTCCCGAACTTGGTCCCCCGGTATGTGTCTTCTACTTGAAGAGGCCAGTTATATTGGGATTTTTGTTGGTGATTCAATTCCTTACCCACTTCACTTCCAACGCGTATACGTGTTATTCCTCCATTTTCGTAATTCTGTCTTTCAGTTGATGTTACATGTTTCTAACCACCGCATATTTCATCTGAAATTTAACGAAGTAAGTGCAAACCAATTTGAAATGTAGAGTTAAAGATACTATGTGACTATGTCCATGTTGTCCAATGCAGCAAATACGTGTTTTGTTGCATTATCCTTCTTACAAGTTGTTTTCTTTTGAGCAGGTTGGACCATCAACCTTCTTTAGTGCCAAGCAATTTGAAGTATTCGACGTGGAACTGTTAGAAGTGAAGAATTGCGAAAGAAGAACTGTGTTTCTTTACTCTGATGTTGTTTGTGATTAGGCTTCTATCTATCTTACTAGGAAATACCATTCTGGAGTCGGCAACAATGTGGTGCAGCTTTGTGGGCTTAATTTATGGCTTTCCTAAATCGAAGTTTTCTTTTGACCTCTGGTTTGCATTGTATGAGTAGGATTGGCGTTTCAAAGGATTTGACTCGAATCCTTCTAGGCAGATTCATTTAAGCAGCAACAGTTGTGAAAGTCCGTCTCCCGACATTGTGTCCGGTCTTGAATGCGCTTGAGCTAAAACTAGTTCCCATTTAAATCATGCTTATGAGATGCTACCGTGATTCTTGCTGAATGAACTGGAACTGCATGTATTGTTTCTTGAAGAAAGCACTGTTTGGTGGGTATAGTCACGCATTGAGGATCAGCCAATGTTGCAGCGATCATTTTGACTTCGCAAGGAACGCAAACACAATTATAAAACCAGCTTTCACATACTCATGAATTCATGAAGCCAGTAATTAGGTCGAGCACGTTAATGCAGCTGATCGTTCCATCCATCGAAACCTGGAGCGGCGACCCGTACTGGTCATGTTCTTCGACGCAGTCTACACACTTTCAAATTTTATACCAAACTAATCACAAATTTCTTTGGTGATGGAGTAGAGTGAAGAACCGGATGGACGTGATTGTTGTGACAGCGAATCCTGTGTGACTGGCAAGGGGCAAGCTGTCAGCAAAGGAAGGGACAGGCTCCACCAGAGGTTGCCATTAGTTGGCGAACAAGGTTCAACTTGGAGATGGCGCAAGACAGCCATGGGATGAATTCCATTGAATACAATATAGATGCATAGAATACTTATGTATCCCAATACTTGCTGAGGCCCTCTTTCAAATCGATTTTGTATTAAAATATTGAGATTGGGAATGTTCCTACTAGCCCTATACATTAGGCTTCTTTATGATCTTATTGGCTAGCACATGAATTGTGCTAAGGCCATTTTTTCATCTCTACATATGTAGAAGGATCCCCTTGTGGAGAAATTGTAGTATGGAGGCATTGGTTAAAGGTTGGTTTTGGGTGTACTATACATCACACCTAACAAGGTTGATGTTGGTAAAATTTAAGTGCAAATTGTTATTTTTAAAATCTCTATCAAATTGCTATGTTGCATCATGATTGGATTGAAGAAGAATTGGGCAATTTTTTCAAAATCCTTCAACTATGATGTTTGGACTTCAATTCATTTGGTGAGGCAATACATGGCTACTATGATGTACTTGTGCCTTGTGATCATTGTTGTTAGGGGCCCCTGAGATCTATGCCTACTTGCATGAATAGTTCTAAGATAGAAATTAATGTTAGTATGTACAACACGACATCCTTGTCATAATTAGGTTTTACTTAGTACACTAAATATTATTGAATAAAATTAGTTACTTCACTTATTATATTGATTCAATAGTAGACTTCTTGAAGTTGCTTGAGAGTTCTTCATACTGTAAAGTCTCTCTATATTTTTGCTACATGAAATAATTCTAGAATTTAAAAAAGATTAAATGCTTTAGATACTTGAAAAATGCAAGATCCTCCATAGAATCGTCTTTTTGTAAAAGAAGGCACAATCCTAAGTGAGGTATTGAGAGAGATAGTACTTTATTTGTTTGACAAGAGTTTGTCCAAGCTCCAATCAATTGAGCCAATCCGACAAGCCTCCACAATGTATACTCATGTCATATGTAGAATAAGAAGTCAAGATCCATTGTCCATGAGGTTAATTGTAAAAGGTTGAAATTGACAAATGGAGTCAAGATCTTGAAAATTTGTATAAAAATTGGGTGTCATAGACTCAGCATGTGTCAAAGCTTCAATGTTGGCATATATGCAACCAAGCTTGTGAATGATGGTGCAATCATACAATTATGAGATTAGGATCTATTATTCTAGCCATCATATTAAGTCATGTAAGCTCATGAAAGCTTACAAAGAAGGATAATTGATTTGATAACAAATTGTAAGCCATAGATATATGGTCAAAAGTGCTTGATGGCAAAGATGACAACAAATTATTTGTTATTACTATTGTTGTAGTTCTTCTTTGCCTTAAAGAAGCAATGTAAGGTGTATGTAACTACTCATTCTTGGCTATGATATTTTGGCTAAGTATGGCTTCTAAAGCATCTTAATTTGCATCAATTTGTGGGATGAAAGGTAAGTAAAAATATAGACAATGAGAAGTAGAATAATACATAAGCCAAACTTAAACTTATTAAAGATAGCATGTTTGACATTGTCCCAAATAAATGCCACTTCTTTCTTCATTAATTAGTAAAATGGAGCTACTAATAAAGAAAAGTCTTTTACAAATTAGTCCTAATGATTAATTAATTCAATAAAGAATCGAGTACATTTGAGATTCATAGATGCATGGAATTAAAAATCTAATTATACCTTATCAAGATCGGATTGTAGTCTTATAATAGACATAATATATCAAAGATATGTGAGCTTTAGCAAGCCAATGACACATTTCTTGGCCTTGAGTTTGAGACTCATACATCCAATTCATATTAAGATTCTTTAAAGATCAATGAGATGAGAGTCAAAGTCCTTAGAATATATGTTGACATCATTGATATACACTAAGGTAAACTTCCAATTGAACTATCTTAATACCATATCCATAAGATGTTGAAAGTTATATATGACATTATATAATTCTATAGGCATGATATTGAATTGAAACAATTTCTCTTGAAAAATAAAGGATTTTTTTTTTTTTTTTTTTTTTTTTTTTAAAAAACTTTTTTAGCCTCATTTGATAATAGGACTTACTAAAAGTCTATGGCTAAATCAATAAAAGAGAATATAGTAGCTCTATGTAATTAATCCAAGGTATCATTAATACAAGGAAGATGATAAATATTCTTCTTCATAATTAAATCCAAAAGTTATTAGTTGATGCAAAATTGAATATTTTTATTCTTCTTCTCTACCAATACTACTATGAAGATCCATAGAAAGAGGGATGGACTACCTACTATTGAATCTAAGAACTTATATATTTTAGTTTTGATGATGGATTGTTTTTTTATATTCTTATAATAATCCACTTGCCACCTAGAAGGTGCTTTAGTGACAATAGCTTGAGTGATTAGAGTAGCTTAAGAAAGATTAATAGGGCCAATATTAAAAATTTTGAAGTTGTGGTAGATAAAGCATTGCTTTATTGTGAGGTTGGAATCCATTTGCATATCATATATGGCAGCAAGAAATTTTTGATGATCTTTTTTTTATACAATGATGGATTGAAGCTTGATAGTAGCCAAAAGAAGAATTGTGTATGAATGGAATACTTCTTCTAATCTAATGTCTATACTAAAGGTACTTGAGAGTTTATTAATGATGTCAAAAGAGAAGATAATAAGATATACTAGAATTTGATTAATTTAGATGTCTACTTAAGTGATTAAAGGATTGACCACTATTATTATGAATTTGTTGTGATATCATCAATTATAAATACGATGTGCTACCAAGGCACAATTTTGCTCAAAATAGAGATATTATGGTTGAAATTCAAGGTAATGTTGAATAAGGCATATGATAGATATGTTTGTGCAGTGAATATGTTGGAAGAATAGAAGCATCATAAATACAACATATTCTTGAATGAAGGTGGAGAAATTAGTAGTCATTGCTAGAAGTTGTGTCTTTTGGCTACTTATTAGAAGAGTCCACATATAGAGTTGTTTGTTGGAATTTTAAAAATATGCTCAAATTAAAATAATTGTCGTTATTTTTGGAGAAAGAAAGAGGAATCAATGGACATGTTGCTCTTAGCGCTATAGTAATAAAGGCAAGAAAGACTATTTGTGAGGTTGTATTGAATAGATTAATTGTTATTTGTTGAGACACAATGTCAAACAAACATAATGTTTGAATCATCCAATCTAAAAAAAAAATAGTTTTTTTAATATTAATAATTATATCTACTATAGCATAAATCCTAGTAATAGTAATAATAACTACTACCATTCAAAGGAAGCAATAAAAATTACTATCTATTATTGTAACTTACATATTAATTAAGATGATGCAAAGGTTTAAGAGCTTGGTAATGACTAAGAGAACTCCCATTGCATTGCAACTTATATTGATGATTATGGAAAAATTGATGCCATTGATGGATCTTAGTACAATCTATGGTCTTACAAAGATCTCTTTTTTTGAATTAATAGCATAATTTAATTGAAAGAACATAATAGACATTCGGATAGGTATCAAGGATATGAATCTCAAAGAACTAAAAGATTAATACATTCTTGTGTTACTTAAAAAGTTTGAAAAATCATTCAAAAATGGTATAATATTAAACTATAATGACTATGGCCAAAGATAAGAAGACTAAAAACTCTTGAAACAAGAATAAGAATTAGAAAAACATTAATAAGAATGAAGAAGACTTCACTCTTGCTTCCATATATACTACCTATTTAAGAGCTACATGGCACTATTCTATAAGACCTCCAACATGTGTCTAATTTGTAAGACATGTGTTTTAATTTGTAAGTTAAGTTTCATTTATAGATGCCACATTGTTAGGTTGTATCACATGCTACCGACATGAATAATACATGGCTAATTTATTGACAAAGTTTCTAACCTATCAATCAAATATAAACATTATAATATCAAATACACATCTATGAAGCTTCTAAGAAGCTTTGTCATAAGATAAAATCAAATCCATTTCCATTTATTTTTATACTTAGTACTTCTTATTTAGGTAAATATATATGTCTATGAAAATAGGTGGTCTTACCATAGTCTTCATATCTTTAGTATGAAAGAGTGTAATGTTTAGTTTAAATTTATATTGGATGCACATTACATTTATAGTTTTTTTTTTTTTTTTTTTTTTTTTTTTTTTTTTTTTAATCTTGCCTAATTATTTGAGCATTAAAGAATGTAGTGAGTAATTCATGGTATTTACTTCCAATTATATTAAAGATACTACATAGATTCATTTAATATTTAAAGCCTCTAATATTGATGTTGTTATTAGAGATATCTAGTTTAATCTAATAGATATCACTACATAATGTAATAAGCTACGTAATGAGATTTTGAACAAAGATGATTTGATAAGTGATTTTTT